CAGGACCTCTCCCTCAGTATAGTGAGTTTAACCACCAAGTTCGGGATGAATTGGTGTGGTTCCTCTATGTGGTCTCTTCGTATGACTTGGGCTGTACTCGCCTCTTTAGTTAGATTTTGTAGTTGAGTCAGACTGAGACCCATCCCAATAAGTTGTTTATCCGATGTGAATTTGGAAGAATATTCCTTCAACATACGTGAAATTATGAGCAGAAAAAGTATAGAACCAAAGATGAAAGAAGCAATTAATTACACCAACTCATGAAGCAAAAAAGGAATACCCCTTCAAATTAATGAAGGAGTATAAGTAACATTAATGAAGTATTAGTCTCTAAACAAGCGGCTGCTTAATTGTTACCTTACGCAGAGAAAAGAGATTCATATTCATTTCCTTATTTACTCTTTCTTGTAATACACACAAATTTTCCTTATCTATTCTTCATATATACTTATTTCCTTATTTATACTTTTATTTATTTCCTTACTTCCATATTCATACTATTATTAATTAATTATTTCCCTCTTATTTATGCGTCTAATTAATTCGTACGTTCTTGACTCTTTTTCTCCTATAAATATCCCTCAAATTCTAATTAAGCTCTCAATATTAAGTAAAAATGGCAGACATAGAGGAAGGATGTGAAGGAGTTTGTCTTGGTTTTCCAACATGCTTTTGCTTCATCTTCTTCGTGTTGGTAGAAATATTTACAATCAGTTTCATGTGTTCCCTTGCAATAAAACCACCAACTTGTTTACCACATATGTTAGATATATTCCTCAAAACCTCTGCAATTGCACTTTGTGTGAGACTTGGCCTCACTTTTATTTGGCAATCCTTCTGCGGAGGATTATTTTGCTAGCAGATTTCAAAGTATGAAGAGAAGAGAAGATCAATGATTTACTAGACTACTTTTTCGTATGTTATTAGTAGCTAGGTTTAGTTGATTTTTAAGTAGTAGTTTAATTATTACTACTACTTTAGGATTCTAAAATACTTTATTTATTTTATTTCAACATTCAATTTGTGTAAGAGTTATAATTAGTTTCTATTCTTGCAAGTTGATGTTTTGAGGTTAAGAGTACTTAATTATGTAATAGTATAGTTGGTTACGACAAATTTAGTTTTATTATCTTATTATGGAGAGATTTTCGAAGCTATTGTAATTATGCCTATACGTACTCTTCTTGATTTGTTTTTTCCTGATCAAGTCATTAAACAACAGTAACTTTTATTGAGTCAACATAAAGAAAAAGGTAGGCGATTAATGCCGGAGATAATGGAAAAGAGCATTCAACTAATTAATTGGTAACAGACAATTAATATTGAATGTTCCATCTAAGAAAATCTACTCTTGCTTTGCTTTAGAAAATCTAATTTTAGAACTCTAAAGTGACTGGTCGTATTGAAAGTTGTGAAAATTAGTAATTTGAAATAATATTATTAGCAAAAGTCGTACATAATTTACTATAACCTGTTAAATTACAGAAATTGTGCACAAAATTCACAAACTCATGAAGCAAAGAACAAGACGGAAATTTATTAACTTAACGAAGTAAACAAACTGCTATAAATTGTTACCTTTACAATAGTTGAGAAAGAAAAAATAAAAGAGACTCATACTTATTTCCTTATTTAAAATTTTAGTAATTCACACTAAATTTCCTTATTTATTCATTATACCTATTTCCTTATTTAGAATTTTTGTGGTAATTCATACTAATTTCTTAATTCTTCTTATTTTTGCGTTTAATATACTCCGTACTTTTTATGAGAAAAGAATCACTACATTCTATACCCCCTCTCCAAAAAATTGCAGAAATATGACACTTTTTGGAGAGGTCACGTACAATTAGTTTTCGTGATGAACATTTTTGGCAATGGCCTAAATAATCAAAGCTATGTTCGTAATGCTGGCATGAAAAATCCAAAATGGACGATTAAAAGTAAACGGAAGGAGTAATATATAACTTAAATTTTTCTCGGAAGTTGGAAGTATCTGCAATATGGATACTTGAATTTCGAAGAATATTCCTTCAATATGATCAACAACATTATTAATTAAGGTCATTTTTTGACACTTATAAAAATACAGGCAATGAACCAACTTATATTTTACTGTTGAGTAGCTCTCGTTTGGCTATAGATTTTGGCTTCATTTTTTCAAAAAAAAAATTGAAAGTTTTTTTTGTTTGTGAAATATGATCATGTTTTGGAAAATAAAAATTAAAAAATTTCAAGTTCCCAAAAACTTGTTTAGGGCAGTTTTTGGGTGATATTTTTTCTTCCACTCACAAAACTTCAGCTGTTCTTCAAATAAAATGCATGTCCAAACACAATTTCAACTTTTAAAAATTATTTTACAACACAACTTCAAAAAACTATTTTTTCAAGTTTCAATCAAATTTATGTCCAAACGCTAGCTTAATATCCGGAGGTTTGTTATCTCATTCAAATAGTGAAAGGGATTATTGTTTCCTAAAGTTCAAAAGTGAAATACTTCATATTTATTTTTTTATCCTTATTTGTGCGTTAATAATTCATAAATTACATAACTTTATTTTTTATTTGTTGTTCTTGGACTAAATATTAACTTTCCAGTAGTTGTGAAGGATATGGACAGGAAGCTCATACTTATTCCCTTAGTTATACTTTTAGTAATTTGGTAATTCCGTGTCCAAAGTTTATTAGGTTTAACGAGGCCTAATTCTTTTAGGTTCGGTTTAATTAGTTGAATCCAAAGTTGTACGGGATTAGGTTTCTATTTTTGTAAGCATAAGTCGTTCGGCTTACAGGGGTGGCATGTGGGCCAGGCCCGGTCCTAAGTGGGCCGGTCCTAGGAGGACCGGTTCTAAGCGGTCCCGGATTTCGCGGGCTTCTTGTTGGAACCGGTCCGGGACCAGGACCATGAACTAACGATCCCGTGTTAAGTGGGCCGGTCCCGGACCTAAGCGGGCCCAAACGATCCTAAGCGGGCCCAACAGATACTTTCTTTTTTTAAAATTATTTTTATACAAGTTAGACAAAAAAAAAATGATAATAAAAATATCTAAGGCAATTCCTAGTAAATTATATTATAGAATTGTCACCACCCCACGATCCCGGTCGTATCCGGTTAGGACCGTTTAGGCCCACCACCCATGTGGGCTTGCGGTCCTGGACCGGTCCCGGTCCTAACCGGCCCACATGCCACCCTTAGGCTTATTGCTGCTAACTAGGGTGTACATAGGTCGGATTGGTTCGGATATTTTAATTACCAAACCAAACTAATTATATCGAGTTATTAAATCTAAAGACCAAACCAAACCAATAAAAGTTGAGTTTTTAAATCTCGGTTTTTCTCGGATTTTCGGGTTGTTTCGGTTTTGTTTTTCATAAAGTCTTCACAATACAAAACATAGAATTTGTGCTCCAAATATTTCTTTAATCCTAGTAAGGCAGAACTATATAAGGTGTTTTTTAATAAAATAACATAAATATGAGATGATTCATGGTATTGTACTAAAATATTTAATAATAAAGATGAGAAAATCGCATAAAATAAATATTATTAATAAGCCATAATGAAAACAAACATAATTTAAAATTACTAATAAGTTGCTAAAATAAGTACGACTAACAAGTACTATTATTTACGTGACTAAACATTAAAAGAAAAATAAGTTATGCATTTTATCTAAAACATAAAAAAATTAAATAATAGATATCCAACACTATTTTCATTCGTATTACAATTGAATTGAATGTAGTCTTTTATTATCATTAGTATTGATTTGATTTTGGTTTAGGATTTATTTGAGTTACTAACATTTATGCACTATAAAATTTATTGGCGCATCCAAAAATTATAAGTCCAAACTTGAAATAATACGTTAAAAGATAAAATTATGAAAAAACTTAAGAAATATTTATAAACTACACTACAATAAAAATTTTTATGTATTAAAATTATTTAAAATTTTTATACATATAATGTCGGGTTGGTTTGGTTTCGGTTTGACTTTATTTAGTTAAAACCAAACCAAATCAAACATCGTCGGGTTTTTTTTCCAATACCAAACCAATCAAACCAAACCATAGTCGAGGTTTTTTTCTCGATTTGACTCGGATTATCGGGTTGGTGCGATTTATCGGTTTCATTTGTATACCCCGCTGCTAACTATAAATGTGGCCTTAATTAAGTCTTTTACAAATATCACTCAAAATCTCAGCTCTCAACAATATATACATAATTACTACTAATAAAGATGTCAGACATAGAGGATGAATGTTGTGCAACAGTTGGTCTTGGTTTTCGTTCTCACATGCCTTTACTTCATTTTCTATTTTGCTGGTTGAAATATTTGTAATCAGTTTCATATGTTATGTTGCATTCAAACCACCAACTTGTTTACCACATATGTTAAATATATGTCTCAAAATCTCTGCAATTACACTTCTTGTGAGAATCAGCCTCATGTTTATTTGGAATTGCTGCTCTGCTGCCGAGGACAGTTAATTTTTGGCTAAGTATATTTGGAGAACATCAATAGATTTCCTCACATTTATTTTTAAATTTTAGTTGTACGTCTAATTGATTTTAAGTAGTTTATTACTACTCCAGTACTCTAGGATTGGATCTATAACATTTTGTTTTATTTCAGTGTTCATATTGTGTAAGAGTTGCAATTAGTTTCTTTTTCTTGCAAGTTAAAGTTTTGAGGTTAGGAATCTCTGACTTCTTATTGTCTATTTTTTTTGCTTTTTGTTATGTCTTTTACTGTTACAGCATTTACAAACTTCATAAAGATTGTTGCTGCCTGCTTAGTTGTTAGTCAAAATGAAAGAAAATATTTTATTAAATCTCTGAATGATCTCTGCAAGTTCTCCATAAATCTCCACATATAAAATAAGCTACTAATATTCCAACACCCCTATTTATAATAGTACGAAACATATTTCAACTAGAAACATGAAAACCTATTCCTATACAATTCTGACTACAAATCATATTTAAACATGAATTAAATAAACTTGCAAATACCAAACCCTAAATGAGTTTTGATTTCCCACTACAACTTTGAATTAGTTTTCCAACACAAAACATTTCAAGTAACAAACTTACAATGACAGAGAAGTAACTGCACAATACCAAATGTAAAAGCAAAATTAGATATACAAATGACGAATAAAGAGGGTAAGTAAGATGAGAGTAAACAAAAGGAACCAAAAAGATGAAGAATGAAAAAGAATAAACTATATATTGAATATATAGTAGTTGAGAATTCAGTTGTAACTCAGCAAGCAGTGTTGCTATCTTGCATGTAACGTGCAAGTTTCAGTTCTGTACCTCGCACAGAATATCAACTTCCCTTATAATTTCATAAGAAGGTCATCTGCATAAAGTTGGATGTAGAAAATAAGCAAAATCAGAAGCACATGAACCAAATTACTAATGCAGTGGATGCAAATTCGCAAGTTGAAACAAGCTAAAGTATCTAAAAGTATCAGCGTTGTTAGGGCCGGCTCTAATGTGTTTAGTAGTAAGGCTTGAGCCCTAGGCCCCCAAATTTTGGCTCCATTATTTTAAAAATAATAGGTTTATAGGTATTTAAAAAATAATATTTAGTACTTTTAATACAAAAGTAGAGTTTTTAATATAAAAGGAAAGAAAGCTCTTTAGATACATAAATAAAGTAATAATTTGACTTACTTAAACACGGATAGATGAATAGTTTTTCCAACATTTCAATTTTTCACTTCTTATTCCTTCATTAGATAACGTATAAAAATTTTAATCTCCTTTTCTGTCTTTCTCTTTAATATTCTTACTCACATTCTTTCTCCAAGAAATTTAAGCTTCCAATAGTTCTATACTTCTATTGCTCTATAAAATCTTATCTAAAATTAACAATATCTCAAGAAAGATTAAATGAGTTGGCTATATTATCAATTGAAAATGAATTATTAGGGAAAATCGACTATAAAAAGGATTATTAACACTTTGTATCTCAAAAAGTTAGAAAAATAGATTTCAAATAAAAACATATCGTATAACTTTCTTTTAAAAATTTAAGCCTCATTAAATTTTGGCTTTAGGCCATGTATATACTTGAGCCGCTCTTGAGGGTTGTTATGCTCTCAAGTCACTAAAGGGCAGTCCGGTGTACTAATCTCCCGCTATGTGCGGGGTCCGGGGAAGGACCGGACTGCAAAAGTATATTGTACGCAGCCTTCACTAAAGAGAGAAAACAAGCAACATTTTGGATTTTTTAGAAAGCATGTTAAGACAGAATTTCCATTTATTACATCTCTTGTGTGCTTGGCACAGACTATTTCTCTTCCTTTTTCTTTTTCTTTTTATATCTTTTTGCTCTAGAACAGATATGTGCAACAGCTAAACTAGTTCAGGTAAATAGTCTATCTTGTCAACACTCATCATCTTTCTATTTTTTCAAGCTCTATCATCTGATATGCTTCCGGAACTTATCACGGTGTTAGAGAAGGACCAAATTTCTTTCAAAAAAAGCTTTCGGTCATTAGAATCTCAAAGAAGGTTAAGATTGCTACCAAACTTATAGAGCACACAAAAGACAATTTTACTCGACTCTCAAGTCAAAGTAAGTGCTTTCCGTTAACTGAAGTGAACCTAAAGAGATCATAATAATATACGAAGCTATTGAAATTAATTGAGATAACCATATTTAATTAAACCATGAAAATTACCATGGTAAAAGATTGAAGTTTTACCAGCTTAACTCGTCTTGGGCAAGATTGCGACTGTACAAAGGAAACTCAAAAAGGAATACAGTTTTGAACCATGGAGGAAGCTTTCCGTATAATCCAGGGGGCAGCAGAATGAGAGGGCTGAAACATTCAAATTTTTCAAATCAATGTTACATTTTCCATCAATAATCAGGAAAAAAGCAGTTAGAATCTATGTGCTGACCTTGTTGTCCTCTTATATACTCTATATTCAGCTACATTTCCATGTTTCTTGTCTGCTGATTCCTGTTTAATGTACACTTTAATGGTATAAGTTAATGTTTGAAGGGGCACATGCGGTAGTCAAAAGAAATAAGTAAACGATAGCACCTCAAGCAGGGGTATGCCACTAACAAAAAGAAGCAGCAATGTTAAGAATATTGGTCCAAGAATAACGAGCCATTCAGCACCCTCAAGCACTGGTGTCGAAGCCACAAATATTCCCCACCACAGAAGGATCTGAAGACAAGTAAAAAAAGCACGATGTAGTTTAATGATAGATGAAACTGGAAAAAGATGAAAAAATACAACCAAGAAATGAAGATTTCAAGAATTCAAATAAGCGTTTCCTTACTCTTCATGTGAAATGCAACACTTGTTATGCGGAGAAAACATAATTACATTGGTAGCCTAAAGCAGAAAATCTTATTGATTTGCCTCTGCCGTCTAACCAACCAAACCAAAAAAACTCTATCCTTTCTATTTTTTGACATATAACCACTTCAGCTCATTATGCAGAAAAAGGACCCCTCACCACTCCCTGCTCGCCAAAAGTGGCAATGTATCATTGCTCGAGACATGAAATAAACACATCAAGAAAGGATAAACAAATATTGTGTGATTGAAACCAATGAGTTGTAAGCTTCAGGATTTGATTTGTGCACAGCACTGTGTAAATTGACAACTTGTTGCTATGAATTCGTATTATTCCCATTGTCCCACGTTACTAGTCCTATGTTGACTGGGCAGAGAAAGTTAAAAACTATGGTATTCTAAAAAATGTAAACATAGTAGAGCTGTAGAGTTGAAAATTACCTTACAGGAAGATTGAAATGTTCCATGTACTTCTAATCTAAAACATTCCATTTAAGAAAAATGGACATCATATTGCCACCAACCAAAAAGGGAAGTAGGACCTCGATATTTGAATAAGGGACAGCCCGGTGCACTAAGTTCCCGCTATGCGCGGGGTCCGGGGAAGGGCCGGACCACAAGGGTCTATTGTACGCAGCCTTACCCTACATATTGCAAGAGGTTGTTTCCGCGGTTCGAACCAGTGACTTCCTGGTCACATGGCAGTAACTTTACCAGTTATGCCAAGGCTCCCCTTCAATATTTGAAGAAGGAAATATTTCTTAGGAAGACAAGTAGGATCATATAGAGATCAAAACGTTCCTTTGTGGTACAATAATGCTTGTGTATGAAACATTCTCAGCACAGAAGCAAGAGAACTCTAGATCCGACATGTTTAGCCCCGAGGATATCAAATTTCTATATCCCAGCAATATAAAGAGAAAATTGAAAGTCTGACCTCGCCAAAATAGTTTGGATGACGGGAATACTTCCAAACTCCAACATTGCACCACTTTCCTCTATTCTCTGGGGAGTTCTTGAATGCCAACTTTTGTTGGTCAGCTGTAATCTCCACTGAAAATCCAATAGACCACATAATCCAACCAATAATGTCTACTGCTTGAAGAGATGGCTGGTGGTCACTTGCATTAACAACTGTTACCGGTAAACTAACAGTCCATACCCAGATTGCCTGTAATGGAAATGAAACTATGATTCACATTAAGTGAGAAAAATCTTATCTTGCTGTAAGCATAAAACCAGGATATGCATGATAATTTGGTAAGATGGTTTTGAAAAGGAAACAGAACCTGAAATATCCAAAATACTGCCAATTTACCCAGATTATCACGCTTATCATCAAAACGTCTATCCTCGCCCCACTGTAATATCCTGATTCGAACAAAAAGGCCAATTAGTATCTGTTACGAACATTCCTCTCTGTTTTTTCTACAGAACACAATAATTTTGTAATCAAGCAAACTGAAATATCATATCACTTGTGCAAGATTGAGCTATTGCATTCAACACACCTCCAATGTGACTTTAAGATGTGTGAATTATTTTTTTCCAAAGAAAAAAGGATATATCCACTGTAATATCCTGATTAAAACATTCACTAATGTGGAAAGATGCCTAGAAGTGCAAGTGAAAGTCGACACTAGTATATGAAGTTGAGAAGGAAAGGATAGAGAGTGCTCGACTGCTCGTGCTGTAAAGAAGCAGAGGAAACATTTCGACAGAAACTTAAATGTGGAGGTGGTACCATTAAGAGTATTTATCAGAGTGGTGTTTCAGTACTATCCACACAGTGTAACATTAAGTTACAAAAATAGGATGCTATACATACAACTAGAGCATGGAAACAAGGTAAGGGGATTTTGTGAATCTGGAATTATGAGAAGACAGAATTAGGCTCTAATATGAAAAGAGCAATTATCTGCTTCTTGAAAATACTAACACATGACACACAATAAAATGGCAGCCTTACCTCATTAATAGAAATAGCCCGAGTCGAAGGCCCCATACCACGACAAACACAGACAAAACCACCTGAAAGATAAGCAAAATAGAGTTTAAAAAAATATATATGCAACAACTTTGGGGCATGCTTAATTATGTATTTAAGCTCATTCTTGATCCAAATATGCACAAAACACCGCCAATATGTGCAACAAAAACTTAAAAGCTCGTAAGATTGACTTCAGTGGAGCAAGAAATTGTCAAAGTGGAGAAGTAATGCTGTCCATTTCAAAGCATGGAAGTGCTTGTTGAAAGCAAAGTTCCCATCTCGAATGACTAAAGTTAGATGGGACAAAGAGGAAAGGAAGCTGCTTTTCTTTCTATTCTCTTGTGTAGGGGCTGGGGGAGATATGTCAACAAAAATAACTTGAACAAATTAGACAAACTGCAAAATTAAATCAGAAACTGAAGAAAACGACTTACCTGTCGAAAATTCCATGAACCCTTTAGTATCAAAGTTAAAGCAGCAAGCACAATGAAATTTGTACCTCCTGTGTGAAGATAATGAGAAAATGACAGACATCATTAACAAAAAGTGATAAATCATGGTTCATAATTGAGCTTCTTTTAGCAGTAACATGGTGAACTTCAAAAATAAATGTAAATCCCTTTGATATCCCCTGAGAATTTCCACAATAAATGCAAATCCCTATGATATATTCGAGAATACAAAGTCTTATTACAACAACAACAACAACATACCTAGTAAAATCTCACGATTGGGGGCTCGGGAGGGTAGTGTGTACGCAGACCTTACCCTAGCTTGTGAAGGTAGAGAGGTTGTTTCCGATAGACAATACAAAGTCTTATTGCACCCCAAAAATGGATTCTTTATTCTTAAATGCAAATTTCAAAGAATAAGGCTTGCTGATCTTGCTACCAACAAACCTTTTACTTAACTTTGAAAAGCTCCAAGATAGGCACAAAGCAGTTATTCTTTAAGTAAAACAAATTCCAAACTATTATATTGATTACACTAAACATAGTTTTAGAGGACAAACATTCTTACCCGCGAAGTCAGTCACTTTATCAAACTTGAGGAGTGCTGTAATTATAAAAAAGATAAACTGGTAACCAACCTGCCAACAAAAAGATATTAAAGAGTGAATTAATTAGAGAGATTTTATTTGTTTGTAAAGGGTGTAAAGGAAGAAAGAATGAAGAAAAAGTAAGGAGGTGGTTACTGTAACAATGGCAGTTAGTCCCAAGAAATGGGAGTCGATTACTGTCCCCATTAATTCTTCCAACAATTGGTACGTACTAATGCCTAATGGAATCCTTACTATATTGGGTAATTGAGAATCTTCAAAATACGTACTACGTCACCACTAGTATTGTCCTCATAATCTACTGCCTTTTGTGTGGTTAGGATTTGTTGTTGAATTTTTGCTGCTTTTGACTTGTCTACCCAAATCTTTTCTCATTTAATTTTCTCGTTCATGATTTTTTATTCCTTCCTTGTTTACCTTAGCTGGTACTTTTATTCCTTCCTTTTGTTTTACACTGCTTCATTTAAAAGATTTGGATATCATGAGCATGTAAGATGGTACTCTATATTTTTAGCAACTACTGATTCCAATGCCTCACTTCTGTCCTTCAGGGGTCGTTTGGCAGGATGTATTACGGAAAAATAATAAGTAGTATATGTATTAGCTTTGTTATTATTAATCTCTTATATGGTAGTGTTTTTCAACTTATGTATAACTAATACATGATATTAGTAATACCATAATTTTTAATACATGGATAAACATGTATACACCCCTACACAATGTATATTATTTTTAATATACCAAACCAAATAGTGGATAAAAAATAATTTCACTATAACTAATCACAGTAAAACTAATCCCAACATTTCAATACTATTCTCATACGCCCTACAAAACGACCCCTAAGAAAATATAACATGCATATTACCCCATTGTTTATTACTTCTATGCCCCAATTATGTGTTCGAGAATCAATTTTGATGTAAATTCGGCTGTCGAACCTTTAAAAATTTTAAAATAAAATTTACATATTTGAAAACTACGTAAAAAAAAAAAAATTTAAAAAAGTAAATGACAATTGTGAGACTCGAGAAATCCGAACACTGCCGTATAACTTGGTACGGAGGGAGTGCAATCTTTGCGTTTGGGTTAGTTAAACGCTTATTGCAGAGAAGAGTTTGAGCTTCTTTTAAGCAACAAATTCCTTTTTAATTACAAAAGAGAATTTCAAAATGAATATACAAGGGCAGATAGACAATTTTCAAGACCGGGGAACACTGCCAAAAATACTAAAAAGATGAAACAAAAGAATCACCATTGGCTCAATATGAAGTAATGTATTTGTCAGGATCTTTTGATGCCTTCCTTTAGTTTCTTGTGCACAAATTTACACTTGTCATCCTTTCTAACAAGAGATACTCCCCTTTCCTCCTTCACTAATCCTGATCTGCAGTTGGATCTTCTACGATTCGCGATGGCTGACCCTTTATCGGACCTCTGCCAGCCCGTGGTCTTGGTGCCTGGGAACTTATAGGCTTTTGTAGTGGTTTCAAAGCAGCCATAATCTCAGCAAATGAAGGCCGTAACCTTGGATCTCTGCACGTAAAAAAGCACATTGTTTAATCATCTATGTTTATCCTGAACTAGTCGTGGTCGGCTATATGAATCATCTGTATCTTTATGTTGTATTCAGAAAAGCATCAACTAAAAATTTATAACCAGCAGGATGGCTGGCCGAAATTCCGGAAAAAGATAATGAAAAAATCTACAAGCTGGTCGCCACAGGACCGAAACATTATAGATACTCACGTTTGCCAGCATTTCCTGATAATGTCTGCAATAGCCGGATCCATATCCTCTGGTATGTCAAGACGTCGGTGCTGAAATCCCACAGCACCAACAACTTGCATCGGGTTCATTCCTCCCCATGGTTGCTGCAAAGTACAGAGCTCCCATAGTATGACGCCAAAGCTATATACATCACATCTGCAGCACACAGTTTAATAGTCCAACATCAGCATCATACACCAGGAAGAAATACACACAATTTATTTTTGAAAATGTCACCCTTTATTGCCTGGAATTTTTCTAAACCATTTGTTTAGACATACTTTTCATTGGAAGGTTCATTTCTCAGCACTTCTGGGGCCATCCACTCTGCCTGAGAAACAAAATGACTCAAAGAAATATGAGAGCTGATGTGGAAAATCACTACATATATAGCAAAACATAGAAACCAATCAAATGTTTCACATTCCAAAAGTACATAAAAACACTTAAAAGATCTCTAAGCAAGCATAACAGTGACTAATCTGCACTAAATAACCAAAATTTTATACTTCGATGCATGTTAAGTTAACTCATAAAGAAAAAATATCGCATGCTACACCTCTGCAGGTCTAAAGGAAATTGGTGTACTACTGCCATTGTTAACTTTCTATCCTCGTTATTGCAAATGTGTGCTGCAAAAAGCTTAACTACACAGTGTCTTCCACGAAAATACCAAATAGTACAGCTTTGTTTCTTATCAAAATTGGCATGTTTATCAATCACCATCATGAGCAAGTATATTCCTATAACGTAGCTAATTACCTTGAAATATCCAGAGAAGCTTTAATTTTTAATCTAAGATCAATAAAACAGCAGAAAGTAATATCAAATAGAAGCTGGCTTTGTAATTATTTTTTCACAAATCTGAAATCATATAGATGAAAATCTAAAATACAGAATTGGTAGCTAGACACTCTTCCCTGAAGGTAAACCTCTCATGAATTTTTATTTTCCGAACCATGGATGGATCATAGCAACATTCTTTCAGGAGAAAATGGCAATAAAAACATCTTCAAAGGCCAGAGAGTATAAGGACCAACAGCATTGACCTTATCTTCTGAAGGGCTGATATAAAATGACGTGCAATTATTAGCCAGTATACAGGACAGAAGCATTACAATTTACATCAAGAAAGGCTCCCCAAAGAAATACCCAGGCATGGTGTGGAACAAAAAACACAATATATAAGAGAAATATCAATCATCGGTTTGAGTTATATTGGCAAGACCAGCAGCTCTAGAATGCAACAAGGAGCAAGTATATTGAAGTTCAAACAGAAAACCAATAGATTTCAACTGTCCTGCTTACCGTCCCAGCAGTCGACCTGGATGAAAGAAATGTGCTGTGCTTCATTCTTGACAGTCCAAAATCACATACCTAGAGACAGAAAATCAAAACGTATCACATGGATTCTTAGTGAAAAGCAAGCAGCAACATTCCCTAGTTTTAAGAGTTAACGGAATTCCACCTTCACAACCCAGTTCTTATCTACTAGGAGATTTGGAGACTTCAAATCTCGATGAACTATCATGGGTGTGCAGTTGTGTAGATAGTTCATCCCTCGAGCCTGTTAGTTTAGTAAAGCACACAGATCAGAAAGTCAAAAACTAATGTAAATGGCTTAACATATGGAGAAATTAAAAATGAAAAAAGTGTGATCATACAGCATCAAGAGCCATCCTCAACCTTCTTCGCTCATCTAACTGATTGTTGGGTCGATGGATTAATCTGTATAAACTGCCTCTGCAGACCAAAAAAAAAAATAAAATTGAATCCAAGTTATCATTACCACAGTCCAAATTTCCAGCTGACTGGTGGTTCTATTTCAGATTTCCAGGTTAACATATAAACCACCACTTCACATAAACTGACGACCAAAATCACCATAAAAGTGAGGTATATTTCAATTATCTCTAAATTTCCCATAGTATTTAACATACCGATGAAGAAACTCAGTAACAATTGAAAGATGTGGAGAACGAGTGACAGCCCCCATGAATAAAACAACATTAGGATGCCTGAGCCTTTTCATGATCCGCACCTTGCAAGCCACAAGATGAATTTAGAGTATACAACAAATTGCAATCCAGAAGTTAAGGTAAGCAACACATCAGAAGATGAAGCACTGTAATGCTATCATCACAGCTAGGGGAAACTGGATTGGTTTAGTGTCAGAATTCAGAAAGTGATTAAAATGGATTGTTGCACACAATACCTTCGGCGACGCCCTTCAGAAAAAAATCTCATGAAAACTTTCATCGGCTTTGTTAATAATGCAGCAGAACTATAAAAAAGTAAAACTATTTTTCTTTGAAGTTAAAATAAATAATTATACCGCCTTGCTATATGATACAAATGATAATTCCTTGCAGAGTTATCTCTTATCCAGAAGACAGTTTAAAGTTTAAACCCGAATTACCTCAAGAACAAAATGTTCGCCAGCTTTAACAATAATACGGCAGAACTGTTAATGATGACCGGACATCATGCTATGTATATATATTTGATAATTCATTACCACGACTTACAGCAAGAAAAGCCCGTAGGAGATTATAAACGTGATCAGGAAAAGCAGAACTAAATACCTATGTTTCATCAGGTATGAGTTAGGAAAAAAAAGTGACAAAAGTTTTTCAGTTTTCTGGTAACTTGAAATTTTGATGAAGCCAACCAAAACAGAAATGAATACTAAATATCAGGTTGTGTATTGCTATATATTTGTTCCAAGTAATGTTGGAATACAGTTCGGATAAAGTATCTGGTACGTATTTGTCCCTTGAAATTTTTTGCTTAACAGATAGAAGAATCCTCTGGTCAGATAGGAGTATGCTAAAAGCAACAAAACTGTTTTCAGGAAGTTAAGATTATGCTAAAATTGTACCTGAGGAATTCACATTATGTGGAAATTAATGAAAAGGATTAATTAGGGCATACAGGGAATACGAGTGTGATTTTAAACGCAAGAGGAGGAGTTCGGATTCCAGCGGTGATGCAATGCATGAAGACTGTTGTTTCTTCCATTTTATGCAATACTAGACTAGATTTAAAATCTTAAACTTACTACTGTGTTTGATAGTGTAGTTTCTTTTAATAATCCAAGTTAGTTATAAGAAAAGGCAAGAGTACGAACGCAGACTCGAGATCTCTGGTATATATAGCTGAGCAACAAGACACTGGGGCGTCGACTAGAAAATTGATAAGAATTAAAAAGGTACTATTGATCATACAATTTCATACTTCTTTTTACATTTTCCTTTGAATATGTGAATGCTTCTCTCAATATGTGCATTTGACTGAAAACTAGAGCATCTGTCACAGGCTTGCAGCTATAGTTCTAATTGTGCATTTGACTGAAAATTATTCCCTCCAAGATTTTGCCATCAGCTTTTAAAACTTATTCAAGAGTAAGATCTCTGGGGGCACGATGATAGTTTCAAGCGTTGTAATATTTAAGAACACTGATAGTGGCCTATG